TCATATGATGCTGCTTGGCCTGCTGTGTTCATCCAGCCCTGCACTTCATCGTGCTGCTAGTCTGAGTTCCAGAGTTAAACCGTGCAGATCTCCCATCTCTACAGAGAAACAACAATGAGGGAAAATGAAGCTTGAATTGAGGGCAAAGTGAAATAGGCTGTAGAATTATTGTGTAATAAAAGTTAACAGTATTTTCAAGTCTTAAAATATATTTGAGAACAAATGCTAACATTTATACAGCACATTTTATGACTTGAGGATGCCACAAAAGTGTTATTCAGTTAATCAAGCACTTTGTCATAGAATTTAGCAATTAATACCACATAGGACATTACATCAATAGCTTTTAATCCAGAGACTCAGGTAGTACTCTAGGGACCTGAGTTCAAATCCCGCCATAGCAGATGATGGAATCTGAATTTGGTAAAAAAAAATCAGGAATTGAGTCTAATGGTGATCATCTGACCACAGTTGATTGTTGTTGTGATAACCTCTAGAAGGCCAATGCAGATAACTAATTAATCTCCTTGTGGAACCCGTTGAGTATGAGTTCCCTTGGTAACAACTAGTGTCCTGCTCAACTGGATCTCATCACCAGAGCCCTTTATAAAGCAGACTCGGGGATGGGTCTGCAGATCTGTTTGTCCTAGGCTGGGATCAACTTATGTATGCTACAAGCAGTGACTCTATTTGGAGTGTTCAACAATAAATGTTGTTCTGTTCCTTTCCAGTTGGGCTTCCTGAGTTATTACAATTGTAAAAACCTATCTGGTTCATAATGTCCTTAAGGAAAGGAACCTGCTGTCCTTACCAGATCTGGCCTACATGTGCTTCCAGACCAAGAATAATGTCATTGCCTCTTAACTGGCCTATGCACAATTAAAAATGGATAATAAATGCTATCCTCTCAAAATATCATTAATTAACACTATAGATGTCCTATTAGGCACTTAAGTCACACACCTTGTTAGTAATAATGTCTTCAGTTCACTGTTCCAAATATCTTCCTGACTCTTTTAAAAAGAAATACCTTCACAGAATTGTACCGCGCTTGAATTTTACCTGCGTTTTAAAATCCAGATGAGAATGTTGTATACTGTTATTGCAACTTCTAAAGTGGAATTACTATTGTAATACCAGAATCACAGCTGCACATTTAAGCCCATTTCAAGGTAACTCAAAATAGCACTCAGATACCTATTATCTTTGTGATTGCATTGACCATGACAGTGAGAATACTTCCCTTGCTTTTCTTCAAGTTATGCTATTGGATCTTTTTTCTTCAAGTTATGCTATGGGATCTTTGGGCCCATTTGTGAGGGTGGACTGGACCCTTATTTAACATTTGATCTGAGGGACAGCATCTCTGACCATGTAGCATTTCTGTGGTAGCACAGTGAAGAATGCATCAAGGGACCTCATAAAGATTTGGTCAGTTGGAGCTGGGGCAGAGTGAAGATTTCAGATTGGTAGGCAAAGATGCAATCAAACGTATGTGTTTCAAGGAGTGGAGTTACCACTGTTGGACTGGGGTGGTCAAAGCCAGAAGTCACACAACACTAGGTTATAGTCCAACAGGTTTATTTAAAACCACAAGCTTTCGGAGCGCTGCTCCTTTGTCAGGTGAGGTGTCCACTTTGTTTCAAGGAGGTTTGAGAAGACGGGAGAATGATGAAGATTTGGGAAGAAGGTAACATGGGGTTGTCATGTCATAAGGCTCTGTTGCTGTCAAGGGAGCTGAGGGGAGGAAACATGTAGTAGTGGAGTCAGGAATGCAGAGGATGCAAGTGGTGGCAAATGATTACGAAAATAGGATGCATCAAGGTGGCTGAAGGATTCTGAAATCAGTTCAATAGGGATGTGACTAAATGGTAAATGGGAAGTAGAAAGTTACATGTGGAACTCTGGATAAATTGGAATCTGTGGATTTAAATTCAGGACAGCAAGGAGGAAAACACAGCTGGGAGCCAGGGAAATTGACAACAGAAACTTGCAAGAGGGCTTAAACTGTCACATGGAGTGAGGTAGGAAGCCTCCTTTAAAGGTGATGTCAACAATCCTGGCTTTGCTAGAACTTTAGGATCCACCTGGGTGAGGAACTGAGGCGGCAGACGCTAAACTGCAAAAATATCTGGTGAAAACCCAAAAGGACATATTCAGTCTTGCCAACATGGAGCTGCAGAATGGTCTGTCTCAGCCAGGACCTGGGCATTACATGTTCATTCTTAATGAGAATAAATTGGATTTGGGCATCATTTGTGGACCTGTAGCTTCGTCTCACCAAACCAGCAATATTCAATGGATGGATGGAGAAGCAAGATACAAGTGTGGCTGAGTTAAAGTTTCTGTCCTAATTCTATAGTGTACTGTTCAACATTTGAGGTATCTGCATGACTACCAATTTAAAATAAATAATTAATCCAATTCAGCATTTAATTATTTTGTATAAAGACTGCTTAGTCTTCAAAATTCAGTTGTGTATAATTACCTTATGAAAATAATTTCACACATATCATTAAGATTAAGCTGAGTTTTGGTCTTTTTTCACTTTATAATTTTAAAAAATCCCCTTCAAACTAGCAGCAGGCAACCAAAATAGATCATGTCCTCTGTCAGCAGGACAATTAATTCTGTTGAGCAATTAAACTTGCTCAGGAATATGATTAAAATGTGATCCCAGTGGGAAGTTTTGGAAGTGTGATTTTCAGGGTGGTTTCAACACTGAGTCACCAACTCCAAAAGAGTAGTGTCTCCATGGCGAATCACATCTGATCAAGCAATACATCATTATCATTACTACAGTATCACATGTATATGGTCCAGTGATACTTTTGACATGATTTGCATCATGTGTTCTAAAAAAAAGACAAGAAAAACACTTCATTGATAATGGTCTTTCCCCAAATCAGAACCAGATGTCATTCTATTTGTCTTTGCTTTCTAAGTTTCATTTTCACATTGGTCATTCTCTGCTTACTAACCTGAAAGGGCTAATTGACAACATAAGATAAACTCCACTTCTATGGAGTAATTGTTCCAGTACAAAAGCTGAAATCTGTTTCTTCAAAGAGGAAGAGTCATGAACATTAACTCTGCTTTCTCTCTACAAATGCTACCAGACCTGTTGAGTTTCTCTGGCAATTTCTGTTTTTGTTTCAAATCTTCAGCATCCGCAGTTCTTTGTTTCATTTATATAATTGTTTTAGTAGTTACTTTCAGAGGCTTTTGTATGATGGGCTCTTGTGGCACAGTGGTAGTGTCCCTACCTCTAAGCTAAGAGAGCCAAGTTTAAATCCCACTTGCTCCAGAGGAGTGCTGCAATATCTCTGGCAGGTTGATTTGAACATATTTATAAAGGACTGCTCCAGGAAGGAGTTATTCAGTTTTGTTTGATGTCTAACTGTAATGTGTACTTTTAAGTTGAAGCTGATGTCTCATAAGAGACAATCATGTATTGCAGAGATAATGTAAGTATCTAAGGGGTACCATGCAATAAATATTTACCGTTTTTCATGATTGAGCCTAACCTATGCTGAAGACATCATGTGGCTAAGTGATATGAGTAACATAGACTAATACCAACGAGAAGGATAGGTGTTAGCACAACTACTTAAGGCTTCTCAGTCACACCATTACAATACGCTGACAGCTCAGGCACCCAACATTATTAAACGGTCACAACAGTGAGGGATTATAAGAGATATCAACAGATACTTGCTCCTTAATTTATCTGGACTGTCCAATTGTTGCCAGAGTTAGTGCTATCTTGCAATATGGGTGTTGGTTCCTCAAGAATTGAAAACACGTTTGAAAAGACCAAATGATGATGAACACTTATCTAGCAGCTAGTTAGATCATTTATTGAGATCAACGAGCTCTTATTGGTCAGGCAGGAGATAAGGTTATTTAACGTGAATGACTGCAGTTCAGGCCACTCCTAATACCTAAGGCCCCAACAATCACAGAACAGACTTGTATAATGTTTTTACATTGAAGAGTGTATTGCTGCACATTTATAAACTCTACCTCGATTAGGCAGCACATTATGAAGTGGGCTGCAGAATGAACAGGAATCACCAGCAAAGTGAGGACAAATTTTACACACAGCAACTGGACAGGATCTGGAATGCATTTCCCACAAGTATGGCTGAGGT